TAAGCCTTTTTTTGGTTTTTTGTTTTTTGTTTTTTTTTTTTTTTTTTTTGAGATATTAGGTTTTGAAATAATTATTTTTTTTAATAATACGATTAAAAAAATAGGGGTAAACGTTAATTTACGTGTAAACATTATTTTATAGTAAAATGTATACAATTGAATTTTAGAAAATAATAATAATAATAATAATGGAGCTTAAACATAGGCATAGTTTGAAATGGGTTATTTGTAAAGTTTTTGTAAATAAATATAAGTTGATAAAAATTACGTGTCCCATAAAATATATAATTAAAATTAAAGTTTGATTAATTGAAAATTTGACTTAAAAATTTTTATCAAACAAATACTAAGCCCCAATTTGGCTCCATTAAATTTTATTTTATTTTTCTCTATCTTATATTTAATCATACAATCTTTCATAAAATAATATTACACTTAAATTCGAAAAAATTTCATTTTTTTTCAATCATTCATTTTTCAAAAAAACATTATTCTACCTATTTTCATTCCAAGAAATGAGAGCCAAACGAAGGCTAAGGGTGTATTCTCTTTGTCTTTTTCAGGCCGTTTTCTGTTTTCAAATTTTTAAAACGATGAAAATGTGTTCTCTTTCCCGTTTTCAAAAACGAAAAAAAAATTGTGAAAAAAACACAAAACGTCATTTTTGTTATTTTGGGCATTTTCAGTACAAAATTGGAAAAAATTGAAAACACGGAAAATTGTTCCAAAATGACAAAAAGAACGCATTTTCAACAATTTCAAAACATGCGCTCAAAACAAAAAATCCAAAATGAATTCAAAACTCAAAACTGAAATACGAAGAGAACAATCCCTAATAGTCCTCACTTTTGAAAATGATTGATTGAGTGAAAGGTAACATATCAATGAAAAAGATTAATAGTAGAAAACCTCTCCAAAAATTTGTTCATGTACAATATATACTCTACCTAAAAAAATAAATATATAAAAAAACTATTTGAAATATTAAAAAGAAATAATTGCAATTATAATGTTCAAATTTTTTATTTTTTTGTAAATTATACTCAAATATTTTATTATCACCCAAAATTCCAAATATTTAAAACTTTATTCACCACCCCACCCCACCCCACCCCACCTAACAATACCAAATTCCAACAACCAATACCAATTTCAAAACAAAAAAATCCAAATCAATCAAGAGAGGCAAATAAAATCCAAATTTACCTTAATTTAAACCCATTTATCAATCTCTAAAGCTTCGGTTAATGTAAAGAAGGATTGACAACAAATGCCCTGCCCCCAAAAAATTTGTTCATGTGCAATGTACCCTATTGGAAATCGAAAACCCCCTATTTGAAACATTCGAAATATCCCCTACATCAAGATCCATTAGTTTAACCATTAAAAAAAGTAAAAATTTATCAAAATTAAAAAGAAGTAATTGCAATTGTAGTACTCAAAATCGTTTTCTTTCTTTTCTTTTCTTTTCTTTTTTTCTTTTTTTGGTTAAATAATATCCAAATTTTTTATATGCACTACCCCAAATCCCTAACATTTAAAACTTTATTTTCTTCCTCAATCCACCCACCCGACCCTACTTCATCTCCTTCCCCACTCCTACCTAACAATATCAAGATCCAACAACCAAGGCCAATTCCAAAACAAAAACCCAAGTAAAAACCAAATTCACCTTAATTTAAACCCATTTATCAATCTCTAAAGCGTCTGCTAATGTAAAGTAATTGAACCTAGAAATTTTATTCCATTTCTAATTTCAAACAAACATTCAGTAAAAGCGATAAAAATCGAAGAATAAGCATCAAATAGGAGAAGAAAAAGATGCCTCCAAGTCGAACCCTAAAAAGATGCGAGCTGCAACAAAGAATCCCAAATGATATTGAATGCATATGACCTTACACTTGTAAATTAGTACTCTGTTTGGTTTGGTTTTGGCGTCTTCCATTCTGAAAAAAAAAGGTTGAACCTCAACCTTAAGGGCCCCCACCGTCCCGCCCCTATAGTTTTGTGAGGGAGGTAAATCGCGGGATGTGCCCCAACAGATCAGGGAACAAGAACTGCATATACACTGCGCTTACAAGGAGTCTAATTCCATGTCTCAAGAATCGAACCCCCACACTGCGTTTGCCAGCAAGGCGTGAGATAACCCCACTCTTATCCTTTACACCACTGGACTATGCCCGAAAGTGGGAAATCCACAAATGATTTCTCGTCTTCAATATAATTTATATGGGAATAGGAGGGTCATGAATGTGAAAGAAAAGAAAAGTGGAGGTGGGGGTTGGAGGTGACAGCAAGTTTTAAATTACTAAAAAAAAGGTTGAACCCCAACCTTGAAGGCCCTTATTGCCCTGCCTCTAGAGCATTGTGAGAGAGGTAAATCGTGGAATGTGCCCCAATATGCTAGAAAATAAGAGTTTGTTCATACACTGATATCCACAAAGAGTCTAATTTCATATCTCAGGAATTGAACCCTCAAACTGCGGTTACCAGCAAGACTGAGACTACCTCACTCATATCCTTTGCACCACTAGGTTATGACCCGAGAGGCTAAGTTTTAAATTACTGACTCTTTTTGAGATGGCCTATGGCAATGGTGGGTGGATGAAGTACGTGTATTTGGTTAGGACCAAGCTAGTGCCTGCAGGGATAATCGTGGGCATGATCGCGCACACACAACACAAGCGAATCAGATTTTAAATTTAGATGAGACCCACCTTAGCATGTGAGGGTGCGATCACCCATTGTGTTAATCATGTGGGTAGTTTGGCAAAATCCTATTTGGTTGGTTGTGGTGGGGTGCGGTGGTTGCAGGGTTGGATGTGGGGAGGTATAGAAAAAAGGATGAATGTATTTTTAAATTATTTTTTTCTTCCAAATTAAGTTATTTTTTTGTGGGTGAAACATATAAAAAAATTTCAGTAGAACTTTAAAAAAATAATAAAAAGTTTGAGTACTACAATTACAATTATTCCTCTTTAATTTTGATATTTTTTACTCTTTTTAACAATTTAACTAACATGTTTTGATGGTAGGGATATTTCAAACAAAGGTTATTCTAAGGGTTGTACAAGCTTATAGTCCCCTACAATTAGGGGACATGGCATGTGGCCCCTCATGTGAGGGGACTATTACTCATGCTGTACACAA